AAACACAGCGGGGATAGCGGGTCGCTGGGCCAGATGGTCTCCACTTCCTTGATGGTGAGCTTTTCGAAGCCGAGCGCAGCCTTCGCCGCCGACAACGCGATGCTGCACGTCTTGCCCGCGGCAGCCTTGTGCTCCAAAGCTGTGAAATTGACCCGCGTATTGAACCGTCCAACCACATCCAATAGAGCCTGTTCCACCTCCTTCTTCAGGTAGCCCGCCATCACCCGGACGAAGATCTTCTTCGCGCTCCGGACCTGCATCGCGAAGGCCTGCGCGACATTGTCCCTCAGCTGCCCGTTCGTCAGGGTGGCCTTCTCGACGTCCATGGCCTGTCCCCAAAACTCATTCGCCTTGATGCGCTGGGTCGTGATGAGCGTGATCCGCGTTTTCATATATATATATATATATTATATATATATATATATATATGCATATACATATATATATACACATGTATATATATATATATTTATATTTATCCTCTGCCACGGCCACGGCATCATTACTTCACCGAAGCGATTTCCTACTTCAGCCCCTTGACGGCGTCGAGCGCCTCCGCGGCCTTCTTCGCGGCTCTCCCCGTAGGCCTCCGCCCACGCGCGGATCCTTCGGTCGTGCCCAAGTCCATGCCCTCCAGCATCTTCTGGCCATTCTCAATCAAGCTCCGATTCTCCATCCATCTCCTTATCCTTGTCCTTGTCATCGACCTCCTCCTCCTCCCGCGCGCCGGCCTCGTCCAACAAGCTGGCGACGCCCTTCTTGTCTCCGGCTTCGACGTGTTTCCGCAACTTCGCCATGTCTGGCTCCGTCAGCGCAGTGGGGCGCCTGCCCTTGGCTGCAGATGCCATCGCCAGTGGCGCACGAGGAGGTGAGGAGTGCAGAGAAATGTGCAAATACCCTGTTGGCACGGTGCTTGCTTGAGCCCCCGTGGTTCAAAAATCAGAATACTACTGGTAGAAATAGAACGCCACAACAACAATACTAATACGACCGGTAATAATAACGCCACTAATGCGAATTAACATGATAATGCGAATTATGATACCCATGATCATACGAACAGTGACAATAAACTAGTGAGACGGATGATAATGAAGAGCTCCAAGCAAAACAATACACATAATACTACGAATAACAAATATCATACGAAGACGAAGACTAATGAACACACGAGAAGCGCGAAGGAGGTGGCTGGTGGCTGGGGGGGCAGAGGCTGAAAGGCCCCCGAGGTCGCCGAGCGGGGTGCGCATCGACCAGCGATTCGTCCACAAGACATGAAGGAAGGGAACGAGTGGGTATCGCAGGAGATGAAGTCCGATGCCTCGGGGATCGGCTCCATATGCCCGCCCCTGGACGCGCCCCTGACGCTGCCGACGGCTGGGGGAGCAGATGGTTCAAGAGAGCCTACGCCTACCCCTCCAGGCGGGTGGAACTGCGCACCACTGTTGTGAAGCCGCGCTCTTCGACCTGGCAGCCGCCCTCAGGGCAGCATTTCGTCGGAGGCGCGATTGGTGCAGGCACAAGGAAGAGGTTTTGGAAAGGGCGCGGGCTCTGAGCAGGTACGAGGGGGGCGAGAGATGCGCCGATCGTCAGGCTGCGAGTCAGATGCTCCTGGTCAAGATGGAGTCCAAGGGCGAGGGCGACGTAGGCCACCAGCGAGGCCAGGCCAGGAGCTCGGGAACCAGAAGGTCGCGCGAGGGGGTGGAGGACCTCCCTCCGGGCGAGACAAGAGCTCGGGCGCGCGGGGATTGCGGGCTTCGACGCCGAGCGAGGGTGAGTGGGTGGCGGAGCCTTTCGACCAGAGGAACGACCACATGGGCTCGCTCCTGGCGGGGAGGCGTGCGACACTGGTCTCTAACGAGGACGATCTAGCAAGGCCGAGGAGAAGTCGCAGCCGCGGCGGGCACTGGGGAGTGCTCGGGCACCCTATGGCGATCAGGGACCAAGGGAATGAGGTGGAGCCGGGGGTGAGGCCTTCCCGGAGCGGACCGTGCGCGAGGAGCTAGACAGGGAGGAGTTGCCGCCCCCGAGCCCCCTGCGAGAACCTGTGCCTGTGCGAACGAGCAAGCCTGCCTGAGCCGAGTCTGGATGTTGAGGAATCCCTGGACGAATGCCTTGCCCCGAACCCATCGATGACGAGGTTGGTGGAACTCGACTGGGACGCGGACGAGATCGACGAGGGGGTCCACGAGCTTCCTGCGCGGAGTTCGCGAAGGAGGCCCCCCAGGGGGGAGATGCGAGCCCAGGGCGAGGAGAGGAGGAGGCGGATGGGGGCGCCCGAGGGCCCGATCCGAGGCCTCCGCCAAGGTAGAGCCAGATGAGTTGGGGAGATGCATCGGGGCTGTGGGCCCAGACGGGGAAGCGGCACTGGTGGCCTTGCCGAAGAAGCAGGGCCAAGAGGCGGAGGAGGGACCGGATACCCGGGACCTGCCGGCCGTCCAGATCAACCTGGACGCGGTCAACGAGTACCTGAGGGCAGGGAGAAACCAGCAGCGGAGCTCCGGCTTAGCCGGGCACATCCAGAGGGCGGCGAAGGACTCGAGGCGAGCAGGGGCGATCGGGCAGACACAGTATGTCAACGAGCTGAGGAACGTGGGCGAACAAGAAGTGCTGGCATCGGATGCCTAGGGCACCAAGGGCAATTACAACGTCGCCTGGCGGTGGAACGTGCTTTGTCGCATCCACGGGAGGAGCCCCATCCTGGATGGCCAGCCCAAGGATGAGAAACTCGAGGACGATGAGAAGCTGCTGCTATTTGTGGTGCGTGTGTGGAACAATCTCCACCGCGCGTGCGGCACGATCCGCACTAAGCTGCTGGGGGTGCGGGCCCACCATGTGTGGCTCTGGGAGCAGGACCCGCTGCAGGGCAAGAAGGTTGTGGATGGCGCTGAACAGTATCGAGGGGCTGCAGGGCCCTGGGGCGCGTAAGTTACGGTCACCGTCAAGATACTCGAGAATATCAGGAAGCGGTTAAGACTGAAGGCGGACCCGGACGACGTGGCGCTTTCTACCTGATAATCACGGGTTTCTTCTTCTTCCTTATGCGGATCGGTCAGTATGCCTACGCGGAGTGCTGGGACCACCAGAAAATTTCAACGGGCTTGGATGTGTCAGCGAAAGCAAAGGGGGGACCGGTGTCCCTATTCGCCCAGGCAAATAGGGTGGTGTTTGTTCCATACGAACGCATCTTCTCGCAGCCAAAGGGGTGGTGCTGTGGTGCTATGGTGCAAGGCGAGCAAAACGGATCAGGTCGGCGCGGGAATGGCCAGAAACCACTACCGGGCAGGAGGTGAGATCTGTCCACTGTGGGCTGCAGAGCAGTACCAGAGGCTCCCAGCAAGGATGGAAGGAGGCAAGGCGGCTCACCTCCCGCTGGCGAGATGGCTGGACAACAGCCCAATGTCGAGGCAGAGGGTACAGGAGGAATTGCAGCGGGCGGCGGTGGCGGAAGGTCATCCGGCGTCGCAGCTCGGCTCCCGTTTGCTGAGGATTGGAGGACCTACGGGGCTGTATCGTCACTGCGGGGGGGCACCGAGGTCGTGAAGAGGTGCAGAGGGTGGAACACCGGCGCATTCCATTGGTACGCACCTGCGGGAGGCTGCGATGGCCGGGTCAGCGTCCACCTTCCATGTGGGCTACGACGCGGCGAAGGGGAGGGCCCGCAAGAGGGGAAAGCCCAGGGCGGCCCCAGCGGGAGGTTGAGGACCTCAGGAGCTGTTCGGAGTGAGGAGGCGGAATCTAAGAGGTCGCTGGCGACGGCGGCGGGCACGCTGAAACTCGTTGAATGAATGGGGGCGCCCCCGCTTGCGGTGTGGCCCCACACCGACTGTAGGCGCGAGCCGTTTTGGCGAGGTTACGAGGGGCGGGCCTGTGGCGAGACAAAGGAAATCTCAGCGGCAAGCTGAGGCAATGAAGAGCGCCGAGGTGGGAGATGGCCTCTTCTTCTTGGGACCGCTGGCATGGTCTGTGAGCGCGCCAGCCGCCCGCTCTGACGCCGAACTACAGTGCGTCGAACGGGTAGCCGACATCCTCCTCCTCCTCCTCCTCCTCGTCCTTTTCGTCGTTCTCGTCCTCGTCCTCCTCCTCCTCCTCCTTACGCTTACGCGTGTGGCATTCTTAAAATGTTGTTAAAAATACACAAAAAATGCAATCGACTCGGCGCAAAGGGTACCTGGCGGGCGCCGTGGTCAGGGCGGTAGAGAGAGACAGTCAAAAAGCATAGTTAGAATAATAGACGCCCACCAGGTAACGCAGCTTGTACATTAGTGGAGAAGCCCAAAACGAGTACAAACCAAGAGCCACTGAGTAAGTACCATATTTCGCGAGGTACATGCTGCGAACAGTGCAAAGGTAATTAACAAAAAAAGAGAGTACAGTGGCGCCACTTTGACTGTGCAATTCTAGAATTACTGCCCAAGGTTCTGGCTGACACCAAACCGTAAGTTAGTACACTCCTCCTCCTCCTCGTTTCTGACGTTCGGCAACGTCGCGTCTGGATGGCAAACAAAAGCGGCATACTGACTCAGGTGCTGTGGCCCGCACACTGAGCCCAACCATCTGCGTGCAGCAGTGATTGATGTCGCTACAAGAAAAGAACGGCAGAGTAGCCTGTGAGTGCGTAGAGTTTGCACGCAGCGGACTGTGCGTCGTCCTCCTCCTCCTCCTCCACCACTCGTCTCTCCTCCTCCTCCTCCCCCTCCTCCTCCTCCTCCTCTTCCTCCTCTGTTTCGGGGCCTCCTTCTCCCCAGACCCCTGGCGTCGTGATTTCTTCCACAGCGCGGGCCCCTGGAGTTCTCGACCCTTTCCATGGGGGCCGGCTTTTTATCCCGAGCCGTCTTGATTGAAGACGGCCTCGGCGCCCAGAAACTTGCCAGGCATGGGCCCTCCTCCTGCTCCTCCTTTACTCCGTCTTGGGGCCTCACGGCTCCCGCAGCCTGGCGGCCCTCCCTGGTGCGCGGACCTGGGTCCAAGCCCCGCCAGGGACCCCCCACGGGCCGGTCCTTGCCCTCGCTGAGCTCGAACATGCAGGGTATGGCCGCTGAGGTGCCCATGGTGCACCTGGGAGATGTTCGAATATTTCCGCACATTAGATTTGATTCGATTGCTGAACGTGCTTGTCTTTCTACCTCCGGAAGGCTCCAGAACGCCAGCGGGGACCTCCGGAGTCTGGAGGTGCCGCCCACATTTGAAGGAAACAGGATCTGGTGTTCCACGTCTTTACGCATGAGGACCAGTTTCGGGCACCATCCCTCAAACAATGGCCCAGAACGAAAACCAGTCCGCGGGTAGGAGTCAAAAGAACCAGGGGGCACGTGAAAAATTCATGGCATCGGAATTCTGGGCACCTCTCTGGCGTTCCTGGAGATGCGTCCCAAGAACACCGCAAGGGCCGGAGTGATGCATCTTCCGAAAGCAGAAGCCCAAATTCTGGTCAGTCGGCGGGCCTGTCGTTTGAAATTGCCCGTCGCCAGGCACCGCCATGCGTTCACACCGCTGACGGGGGCGGGCAGCTTGGTGTCTGCAGGGCTGTTATCCTCGCTAACCAGCCCCAGGACCCCCGTGACGCGGCCAGACCTGCTGTAGCATGGCATCAGGTTCAGGATCGCGTCCTTTCAGGTCGGGCTTTCGCAATAGCGATCCGATGCCAACGCCGCTCCCTGCAACCTCTGCGCTGTTCTGGGGACCCTCCCTCGACATGTATTTCGGTCAAGCCTTCGAATGATCGGACAAGAACGGGAAGCGCCGAGGTTGTCCATCGGGCTCGGGGGGGGGGGGAACATAAGCAAAGGATGATGGCGACGACACGGCGGCGGATGTCGAGGATGGCAGCGATGACGGGAGGGCAGCGAGGGGAGCAGGATGACAACGAATAGGAAGGCAAGCGCGAGGACGAGGAGGAAGAGATGGAGGAGGACGACTACGAGGAGAAGAGGAGGAGGACGACGACACTGACGAAGAAGGACGGTAAGGAACCCGACGAAAAAGGACGTCGAACAAACAGGTGTCCTCGTGATCTTTTGAGGCTGCCCTGGGGGCTGTTGGGGCCGTCTGGGGCGATCTTGGGGCATTCTGGGGACAAATCTGGGACCTGTTGGTGTCCTCTTGGGGGCTGCTGGGGTCTTCTTGGGCTGTCTGGGCATGTTGTAAGGTTCTGTGGGGGCTCTCTCGGGCCATCTTGCTGCCACGGGCTGTCTTGGGCCGTCTTGGGGCCCTCTTGGGCAGTCCCAGGGCCTCTTCGGGCGCTCTTTGGGGCCCCTGGGTGCCTCTTCGGTGCCCCTCGGGACTTTTTTGGTGTCCCATGGGGGCCCTTCGGGAGGTCTCTTGGGTCGTTTTGAAGCCCTCCAAGAGCGATTCCAAGATAATGCTGATCCGGAGTCCTCTCCAGAACCGGTTTTGCGAGGACATCTCGAGCGCAACAACCATTTTCCCGGAATATGCCAGCGAGTCGCCCGGTGCGGCCCGCATCCTTCAGTTAGGCAAACACATGTATCTACCCAGAACCAACGGTGCACGCCGGAGGCGTTTCCCGTCATCACCGAATTAACGAATATATGGTACTCGGGAAGACGATGCCCAAGCTCAAACTGCATACTGCTTGGCATCCTGGGGAAAATGCCGCCACTGCATGACTGGCCATTTTATTGTCTTTAACGTTTCATGTGCTGAGGTTCTTGGAAGCCAGTCTAGATCTGCTGTGGCCCAGCAGAAGGAGAGCCAACCGTACTCATGAATCCAGGCCTCCGGTGCAACGCTTTTTCGAGACGTGGACCCCCAGCCCAGAACCCTCACCCCCGTTTCTGGGGCAAATGTTTCAACCCGTGTAGATTGTCACTACCCTGGGGCCCCGCCCGAAGCAAGCCTCCAAATGCCGAGGACGTGAAACCTGATCGGACAACATCGGGAAGCGTCGATGTTGTCCACTAGGGCTCGTGGGGGGGAAGAAGGGAAGGGATGATGGCGACGACAGGGCGGTGGATGACGAGGCTGACGGCGTGGATGACGGGGAGGGCAGCCACGGGAGCAGGAGGACAACGAGTAGGAAGACAAACGCGAGGACGAGAAGGAAAAGATGAGAAAGGACAAGTACGAGGAGGAACGAAGCGGGACCCCCCCGATCAAAACATATGATGGGGACCTCTGTGGGAGAATTGTGGGAGCCTCCTGGGAGCTTCTTTTGTGATCCGCTTGGATTGTCCTGGCGCGTCTCGAAGGTATGTAGGGGCTCTCTTGGGGTGTCTTGGTGTTCTCTTGGGCTATCTCGGGGCTCCGTTGGGCAGTCCCGGGGCCTCATGGGGGCCTCTGGGCGGTTCCTGGGGGCCTCTTGGGAGTCTTGTGCGGCGCTTGGACTGCAGAGCTTGAGCCTGCATGGTCGCAGAACCTGAGCCTGGGCCCACCGTCCCAGCATTCCAGTAACAACCAACATTCGAATAACAAGGCTAAGTTTAAGGCGTGCTGGCAACATCACGACCATATCACCCATAAGTGTGTGCAATAACATTTCGTGCAACCCACAAAGTGTTAGCCAGCGGCAGCCCCGAACATGATGCTTTTAGCGAATGCTACGTGCAGGATTTACGGAGCAGGCTACGGGCAGCAATTCGTTTTTTTGTCGGCATTGAAGTGTCAATTGCACTGCTCGTCCAGTCATCCCACCACCCACCCGCAACTTGGTTTGCAAAACCCATGCGGTGGCGATTGCAATGACTGTTTGGCGCTGGCAAGCGCATCGTTGAACCCGCGCATGCGCGCACAAGCTCGCGAGCAGTGCGGCCAGCTGGTCTGGCGCGACCGACGCGGCCCCGGCGGCGCTGACGGTTGGAAGCACCCCGGCGCGTCTGGCGCCGACAAGCGGGCGCTTCATGGCGAGCCGGCGGCTCGGGCGCGGCGCGGCGCCGCGGCGACGTCGGCGACGGCGGGCGCGATGATGATTGCGGCGGTGCTGGCGACGATGATGACAACGACGACGGCAAAGCCAATGAGGGAATGACGGCGCCGATGCTGATCGCGCCGATGACGATTTTGGTGCCCTCGCGTCGGCGATGACAAGCGCGACTAGGATTTCGAGGCGCGCGCGCGGCCGACGGGCGCGAGTGGCCCGCGCGGCATTCTTAAACGGCGCTCGCGCCCCTCCAGCACGCGCCCGAGGGCTTTCGAACGACGTCGACACGTTTGCGCGAGAGGCCCGCGCGGTCGCATTTGATGAGCGCGCCGAAACACCCATGGCTCTGCGACAAGAACTCGCAAGAGCGCGCGCGCGCGAGCTGCTTCGAACAATGCCGTTGCGGAACCAATCGCGTTTTATATTTGTGCCCGGGGCAGTTGACGTTGAAACCCGCGCGAATTGCAGCGACAAGCGGGCACGTCGTGCGCGACGGCGCGCGCGCGAGCACTTCGTCTCACTTTTTGGCCGCGGTTTCAGCGCGCGCGAAAGGGCGCTCGACTGATCTCGACATGCTCGCGCGAGGGGCACGTTTGGTAGTATTTCATGAACGCGTCGAGGAACCGGTGGCTCTCTGAATAAGTGGCAAGGGCACGGGCGCACGCTGCGTTGAGGGCTCTGGCTGCGCAACCATTGGTTGCGTTCCAAATGTGTTCGGGGCACCCGATTTTCGGGCCCTTGCGACGCCCGAGGTTTTGAAAAATGGTGGCGTGCGCGCGCGGCGACGCGCGCGGGTGCGCGCCGCCCCGCTTTTCTGCCAGGGGTTCTTGAAAGCTATTGATGGTTGACAAACGACTGCGCGCGCATGCTATTTCCTGACGGGGATCAGTGGGTGGGTGGGGGGGGGGTCGATCGCCCGACAGCCTGGGGCGGCGTAAACTCACCTTCTCATGCGCACCACTCCGAGGGGGTAGAGCTCGGATGCGATTTATTGAAGCCGCCCCGCCACGTCCCGCTCGACATTCCCACTGCTCTTTCGCTCGAGATGTCATCGGCATTGTGAAAACGGTGGCGCGCCTCGCGCCAGATCGCGACGCCAGGGTCCAGAAACAAAGGACTCGCTACATTTTGCTATGACGCCTTCAAAAACACAATGGACTTCAATGGCTCGGAGCCTGATTTTTCCATAAATGAAGTTTCGCCTGGGACATCCTCCCAGAATCGAGCTTCTTTCCAATCCGAACCGCGAATCCGCGCAGTCTGGCTCGGGACGCCCCCCAAAAAATCGGGCCCCGACGCGCGGCGCGCGAAGACTGCGCGCAGATCGCGCGCTCGCCGTGCAAGCAACGCTTGCGCAACACACGCGCGCGCGCACATGCATTGCACACACGCAGTACCTACAACGCGCAGAACGCGCGCCCAGACACGCACACAAGTAACACGCGCACAACTCACACACGAACACATCTCCGCGCGCGCAACACAAGCAACACACACAACGCACACGCACGCATGACGCATTACATGCAGAACAAACATGGCCCACGCTTAACTCGCACATATCGCGCGCACACGCAACAGGCGCACACAACACGCAACGCACACAACACAAACCAGTCACGCGCACAAGCACACACACACAGAGGCACACACAATATACACACATCCCGCACTGCGCTTGCATGGGCCCGGGCACGCACGCGCCGCGCGTTTAGGATGGGCGAATGCGCGGAGTCGCGCGAATCGCGCGCGAAAGCAATGCAAAAAGGTGCACCGCCAAGTTTGCGTGCGCACGGAGGGGCAATGCGCCCTGATAAATTGTCAACGCCGCTGCTCTCGCAATCATCCTACCAGCCCGCTCGCCCGCGACGTGGTCTGCGCAACGCATGAGGGGCAAGTGCGACGCCTTCCTCGCGCTGGCTGGCGCCTTGCTGCGGCCGCGCTGTCGCGCGCAGGCTCGCGCGCAGAGCGGCCGGCTAGTCTGGCGCGACCGACGCGGCCGAAGGTGCGGACCGCCCGGGGCATCCCAGCGCGTCTCGCAAGCCGCATGCCGCAAGCCGCGCTGACCCGCGGGCACTTCGGCGCGAATCGGTGATTCCGGCGGGAGCGGCATCGCGGCGACGTCGACAGCGGCGGGCGCGACGGCGAGGCTGCTGACGGCGCCGAAGCCGATCGCGCCAACGTCGACGATGGCGCCCGCGCGTCGGCGCCGATGCGACGATTGCGCCGGCGCGTCGGCCGACGGGCGCGAGCGGCCCGCGTCGCATTATTCGGCGGGGTCGCGCCCCCTGCCCCCGGACGGCGCGCGCGCGAGGGCGCTCGAATGGTTTCTACGCGCGCGCACTTCGCCCCGATGCAGTAGCAGCGGATTTTTAAAAGCATCGGATGCGCGTCAAACGAGTGCGCACGCGCAATACTTATCTCCAGAAGATGGCGGGGGGCGGGGGGTCGAGACCGCTTTGGCGGGAAGTGCGCGTTCATAGATTTAGACGGGGCGCCCCAGGGGCGGGGGCCATGCCCGGCCCAGGGGAGGCAGTGGAACCGAAGTCTCTCTGACAAGGAAAACTTTACGCGGGGCAATTCACCTGGCAGAATTTGGATCTGTCAACTCCACGGCTCGCGTGACCACCCCGCCCGCCCATCTGCAACCTCGTTTGCAAATCCATAATCCACCGAAGCGGCGATTGCGATGACTGGCTGGCGCCGGCAGGCTGGCGCGTCGCCGCGGCCGCGCTGGCGCGCGCAGGCTCGCGCGCGCAAAGCGGCCGCTTGGTTGGCGAGACTGACGAGACCGCCGCGGCGCCGACCGCTCGGGGCCCCCCGGCGCGTCTCGCAAGCCGCGCTGACGCGCGGGCACTTCGGCGTGAGTCGGGTGCTCGGGCGGGCGCGGTCTCGCGGCGACGTCGAGTGCGGCGAGATGATGGTGATAGTGGCGATGAGGGTGGCGACGATGACGATGACGACGACGAGGCCCGTGCAGAGCCGACGACGGCGCCGCCGCTGACCGCGCCGCCGACGACGATGGCGCCCACGCGTCGGCACTGGAGGTTCGGGGATGTCGACGCGCGCGCGCGGCCGACGCGCGTGAGTGACGCGCGCGGCAATGAAAAGCCCCCCTGAAAAAAACACGCGCCGACCGCGAAGGGTTCCGGCAGGCGCGCGTGAGAAGCCCGCGCGACCGCAGTGGGCGAACATTCTGGCGCCCGCGGTTTTCGCGCGAAGTCGCAAGAGCGCGCGCCTGTCCTGTCGCGACGCAAAAATGCTGAACAGCCATTCGATTTGCGCATATTGTTTTGGGGGGCTTCTTTTCTCTGGCGGAGTAGCGGATGTCGCCGCGCGCGCGACGCCGCGCGCTTGGACTTGCCCCCATTTGCGACAAGGGGGTCTTCGACAATTGAAGCGAATTTTTTGGGTTAAACGACTGCGCGCGCAGAGAATTATTTGACGGGGGCGAGGGGGGCGCCGGCGACGCTTCTCGGGGCGACGTGAGGTCGCGCTGCGCGCAGTGATGGGGGCGCAACAACGCGCGCAGCGCGGCGCCCTGGGGGGCGCCGAAGAATCGGGGGGGGGGGGCCTTCTTTCGGCCCTTTCGGGGGGGGGCTCTGCGCGGCGCAACGCGCCCTTCGAGGTCCTCGACTCCACTGGCCGCGCACATATTGCACTCGCCCGCCCGCGAAATAGTTTTCGGAGCGCATGCGGGGCAATTGCGACGCATGCCTGGCGCCGGCCGGCGCGTCGCTGCAGCCGCGCCGACTCGCGCGGGCTCGCGCGCAGTGCGGCTGGCTGGTGCGGCGCTGAATGCTCGGGGCTCCCCGTCGCGCCTCGCGAGACGCGCTGACCCGCGGGCGCTTCGCCGCGACCCGGCGACCCAGGCGGGCGCGGCGTCGCGGCGACATCGACAGCGGCAGACACGACGTCAAGTCCAATGGCGGCCCCGATGCTGATCGCGCCGGCGACGACGATGGCGCCCGCGCGTAGGCGATGCCAGCTTTGCAAGGAATTCGACGCGCGCGCGGCCGGCGGGCGCGAGTTGCCCGCGCGATATAATTTGACGCGGATCGCGCACCCCCCCCCCCGCCCACCCGCCCGCCAACGCCCGCCGCAGCGCGCGCGCAAGGGTGTTCGAATGATTCCGACATGCGCACGCGTGGGGCCCCTTCGGTCGCATTCAACAAACAGTGCTGACGAATCGTCGGTTCCCCTGGGGAGTCGCAGACCTTGGTTTGAACCATCCAGTTGCAAAACCGTTTGTTATTCTCATATGTTCTCGGGGCATCCGATCTTGAAATCCGAAAATTGACGGCATGAGCGCGCGACGCCGCGCGCGTGCACGCCGTCTCTTCGCTGTTAAAAAGGGGTCCCTGAACGCGGGTGGATTTTTCATAAGCGAATGCGCGCGCATTTCTTCGAGGGGCGAGAGGGGGTGTCGAACCGGGCTTGGCTGGGGCGTTATGAGTGCGTGGGCGATGGGGCAGACACATGTTAAACTGCACACTCCAAGGGGGGCGTGGGGGCGGGCGAGCCCCAGGGGGGGCGCCATTCCGAATTCGTTTTCAGATAGGAGAATATACGTTGTGCAACTCGCCCAGCCGAACTTGAATTTGCCGACTCCACTGCTCGCGCGCGCATCCCGCCCGCCCACCCGCAAATTGGATTGAGACGCCCATGCGGCGGCGATTGCGATGACTGCTCGGCGCTGGCTGGCGCATCGCCGAGGCCGCGCTAGCGCGCCTGTTCGCGCGCGCTGCGGCCAACTAGTTTGGCGCGACCGACGCGGCCGCGGTGGCGCTGACCGCCAGACGCTTCCCAGCGGGCACTTCAGTGCGAGTCGGCGACTTGGGCGGGCGCGGTCATCAGCACGCAATGGAAATTTTGAAAATATGTTGTGTTCTCAAGAATTCGCGAGATCGCGAACGCAAGTCTTTTTTTAAGTGTGTGTATATATATACATATATATATATAGAGATATATGTATCGACTTGATGTTACAAAACCATGTGCTTTTATGTGTTCGGGGCTGTCGGCTTCCAAATCCTGACGGAGATGTCGGCGTGCGCGACCGGCGACGCGCGCGCGCTGCGCCCCACTTCTTACAAGGCGTTCTGCGAAAGCGCGCGCGCGCAAGGGCGTTCTTGCGATTCCAGCACGCGCGCGCGCGAGAAGCCCTTTTGGTATCCTTCGTTTATGAACATGCTGACAGACCAATGGTTTTCTGAAAGATTCGCAAGAGTGCGGGGCACATGTTTTAGCTTGCAAGTTCTTCTTGCGAAACCTAATTGTTTCGTATGCTTTCGCGGCAGTTGACTTTGAAATCCTTACGAGACCGAAGGTTTGTAAAGGATTTCGACACTCGCGCGGGACAACGCGCGCGTGTGCACCTCGTCCCTTATTTTGCAAGGGACGCTCGGAAACTGATGAGTTTTAGTAAACGAATTTGCGCGCATAGTACTATTGGCCAAGGGTGACAGGGGGCCGATACGGGTGTGGCTTGGATGATATGGATTTTATACTTACGATGAACGACGAGGCTGAATTATATATGACTTGCGATGCGAAATGAGGGGCCCGTTATTCTTTTAAGAAAAAAAATCAGGCGATGACTGGGCGGCGACGGCGACCACGGAACCGCCAGACCGACACCCAGGTCCGAACGACGGCCGTCGACGGGGCGGCGACGGCGAGCACGGAGCCGCCAGACCGACACCCAAGCCCAGACGACGGTCGGCGACGAGGTGACCACGGGGCGGCGACGGCGAGCACGGAAGCGCCAGACCGACATCAAGTCCCAGTTCCTTGGAACAGAAACAAGAAACACGAAATGCAAACACTGTGTGGGGCGAGTCTTAAAACATTTTCTGGTGGGCCTATAAGCAAATCTGAACGCTTCGCCACTGCTTGCAAAACCGAAGACGACAAACCCATCTTCTTGAACCTCTATTGATACGCGCCCGTGAGCCCAACACTGACCGCTGCCCTGGCCAACGCTTCTAGAAGGTAGCCCGAACCCGGCTTTGGTGAGGGATGCGCCCCCCACCACGCGAGGGACACACGGCCAGGCAGGATACATTACAGCAAGGAGTAGCTGACCTGTAACGAGGTCCACAAGAAGAGAACAACTACACAGGCCAAGCCTGTCAGAGGTCCGTGCGGATCTCTTGGGTCGGCAACAGTGGATGGCGCTGTAAGAACTCGCCAGCGTGTCCAGCGCGGACCCAAGAGATCCGCGCGAGCCACGGGCAGTCCGCAGCCATAGTGCTGCCATATGGAACGCGGAATAAGAGACGACGGATTTTTTCTGGCCACGGCGAGCCTCGACCACACATGGGCTCCCCGTCCTAGATCTCAGGAGCAACCCAACAACCAGAGCCCCTCGTGAGCACGTATCCTGGCTGTCAAGGAGGGGTTTCGGGTCGGGCGAAAGGGGGGGATAGCAAAGGGGGGGTTTGAGAATCAGCTCACGGAGCTGATTTTCCCGGAGCCGGAGGCGACTATGTATCGAGGAATGGGCCTTTCGGTGGGGCCGAAACCAGCTACATGCAGCAAATTTCGTAACCCCCCCTTTCCCAATCCCCCCCTTTCGTCCGGCCCGAGGGTTGCCCCGACGGCAGGGAAGGGCTGCTTTGCGACCATCCCTCGACCGCCCCGCTCCTTGCGGCCGGAGGCCCCCGGCAGCTTCGCCGCACTGGGCCTCACCTCTCCGCTGCTGGTGCCCTGCGCACGCTTCAGAGCCTGAGGGCAGGCCGCCGGGACGGACGGGCGGGGGGCTTCTCACTCACTCCCTTTCCTCACTCCTCCCCCCCCCCTCCCTCATCACCTGCTCCTTCCTCCTACTCCTCCTCCTCCTCCCCCCTTCCCCCCTCCTTCTCCGTCCTCATCCTCCCCCTCCCCCTCCCCTTCCTCCCTCCGCCCCGCCCCCCTCCGCACGCAGAGGTGTCCCTGGAGGTTCTCAAAGGCCCCGGGAGCCTGCGCCACCTGTGCCCTGTGCCTGTTCGCAACGACGGCCTCCAGAAGCTGCCCGCTGGCGCCGTCCGCCTGGGCAGAGGCTCGGCGCCCTCCCCCCCCCCCTCCCAGCGCGAGACGGGGGGGGGGCGCAGGGGAGGAGGGGAAGAGGGCAGAAGATGTGGCGAGACGAGGGGGGAGGGAAGAGGGACCAAAGGCGGAGGGGGGAGGGGTCCGGTAGGGAAGGAGGGGAGAGAGAGGAGAGCCTCTAAGTCCTTGGGGCTATGTTTGAGCACTGTGAAAGTCAGAGGGGAGTTGGGTTCACCCGAGGGGCCGGGGGCGTGGGAGAGCGATTTGGGGGAGAAGTTCGTGACCTCTGCTGAAAAATCAGGTCAGGGAAAGGTCGACTTGGCCAGTCAGGGAAGACAGCTTTGGGAAGCTGCAGCGGTGAATTCATGGAATGGCAACGGCTTGGATAATGTTCCTGATATGTTTGAGTTTAAGCACCAGTCAAGAGGTGTGCCAAGAGAGGAGAGCACGCCTGGGCTGGGATTCTCAAAGCAGTCGCAATGCGCAATAGCTGGCCGAACGGCCGAATCGTCGAGTGTGGCCTCTCTCGGGACATCACCTGCAAGAGATGTGGGATCGAATTTGAGTGTAATATGCACCGTGCGTGGGGCTGTCCTGAGAATAAGCAGTTCCGTAAGGTTTCAGATTTTGTCGTCAATCGTGCCAGGGCAGATTGGGAGAACAACCCCAGCTTCTGGCTTCGAGGGCTGACGCCAAGCTCGTGGACCGCCGTCCCCCCGCCCGCAGAAGGCGCCGATCTCACGAGGCTCGGCGAGGACCCCGAGAGGGCTCTCAGTGGGGGCTTCATTTTGGGCGGGGGGGCGCGAGCGGTGGCCATGACGCTCAAGATCCTCCCTGAAGAGAATTGCCTATGCGTGGGTTGCCATGCGAGTTCCTAGGTCTCCCCACTTCGCGCTCTCGCGCTCCGCGAAGCGCGAGAGCGCGAATGACTTCGCGCTCTCGCGCAGCCCCCCCCCCCAAGGGAGGAAAGGAGGACGAGGAGGAGGGGGAGGAGAAACGAGGCCCGCGAAGCGCGAAGCGCGAATAACCTCGCGCCCTCGGGGGAGCCCTCGGGGGTTCCGAGTGGGGATGGTCGTTTTCGCCACTGCAGGACCTCGGCAACCGTGCAGGCAGAGCTCGGCAATGCCCCAGGGCGGCGGCAGTCTGTCAACAGGGGGGAAGCAAAAAAAACCCTTCGGCGAAGGATTGCAAAAAACCCTCCTTCGAACAGGTTTTTTTGCAATCCTTCGGTTTTTTTGGGTTTTTTTGCAATCCTTCGTTCAAGTGAGGGCGGGGGGGCACGATTTGTTGCCCCTCCCGGCGGCAGAAGCAGCAGTCATCCAGGGGGGAAGCTAGAAGTTCCCTGTAGCTCCTGGAACACTTTTCCCCAAGGGCTCCCAACTTCGCGCTTCGCGCTGCGCGAAGCGCGAAGCGCGAATAACTTCGCCCTCTCGCGCCGCCCCCCCAGAGGGAGAAGAGGAGGACGAGGAGGAATCGGAGCCGAACCGCGAAGCGCGAAGCGCGAATAACTTCGCGCCCTCGAGGGCGCCCTTGGTCAACAGGGGGGAAGCTAGAAGTTCCCTGTAGCTCCTGGAACACTTTTCCCGATTGGCAGGCCCTATGTTGTCACGGATCCGCCATCTGTACGCAATGATGTTGCTAAAGCCCAGCACGGTCTCCACCCAGAGTCGCATCTGTATCGTTTGCAAGAAGTTACAGAGCTCCTGTCGCAGCCTCCAGAGAAAAGATATCGTGCTTGTGAAAATCGAGAGCAATCGTGACAGGAGTAGTGTGTGCAACAATGGCCCAAACCGATTGCAATCCTCGCCAATGAAGTGCCAGATTATGTGGCCAGTTCGTGGGCTGAGCACTTGCGTGTTGACGAGAAAAATCGAAACAACAGATCCCATGCCCAGGCCATCGCCTTCGCAGTCCGCAGGCATCTGGGGCACTCTCTGCTCGCCAGTATCGAGGCTGAGGGAAATAGTATCCCACGGAATAAGGTACTTTTAGAACGAACCCGGGTGATGAAAGGCCACTTGCTTGTGACTCACCACGCACCGAATGAGCAACTCGGCTCCCATGTGTCTTGCAATGTGTTCGGAGAATCGGCGCCGCTCAGACTTGCAGACAAATTTCTTGTCGAACCAAAAACATACTGCCACAGAGATCTGTTCAACAGGGTTGTGATGATCCCACAGGCAACGACCGTCAACGGTCGAGAGTTGCATCCCGGCCACATTCTAGGCTACAACACAGAATTGGGCAGTACTGTTTGTTTCGATTGTGGGTGCGTGGCCACCCAAACTGTGCGCAACCTCGGGAAGTAGTGTTCGAATTCACTCGGCCACTACGGTAAGCGACAGCTCGCCAAGCTCGCCCGAGGCGACCCTCCTGACACGAGCAATATTGCCAAGAGCTAACTACAGACTAAGAAAGTGCCGAAGTAACACTAGAATACAGACAAATCATTGGCAGGAAAGAGGCAAAAGTTGGGTCCACCCGTGGCTTGATCCCTGACCCCAGTGAAAATCAGAGTCGCACCAAGAAGCGAGAGGGTGTCACCACCTAGTGTCCAAACCGTCCTAACCCAACTTAACCCCTCCCCTGTCCATCCCCATCCCTTCTCCTCCTCATCATCCTCCACCTCGCGGCGGTCCGCCATAACCTGGGAACGTAGCAAGGGAACCCCGCATCCCCACCGCATGGCAATATATAGCCCGCCCCCAACTTCGGGGAGGAACAGGAGGAGACGGAGGAGAGGGAGGCGGGAGAGGAGAGGGAAGGAAGCGGAGGAGGAGGAGGAGAAGGGGGAGGGGGGACGTGAAAAGCTAGGCGCGCTCGCGCATTACCTGAAATCAGATTCCTCCCGTCCATCCGTTTTCAGTTCGCTGTTGAATATATATATATATATATATATATGTATACACATATATATATGTACATACTCGTTCATGCATAAATACATACTCACATGCCACACACTTACATGCACATGCACATTTACATATATACATATATGCATACAAACATACATGCATGCATACATACGACCAACATGCATGCATGCGTACATAAGTACATATGTTGTCACATACCTACATACAGACATACATGCATGTCTGCATATATTCATACACATATACATGCATGCACATACATGTGTATATGTTTGCATGCACACTTCCCTACATGCATATACACACTACGCATTCACAAACACACGCATACATACTTACCTGTATACCTATTTACATACATACCTGCATGCATACGTACACATACCCACCTATACACATACGTACATACATACTAGAACCACGCGCGCGTCACGCGCGCTTAGGCTCTGGTCACAGCACCGCTGCACCACAACGCCTCCGTCACCACGGCCCCTTCACCTCGTGCAAGCACCGTCGACGACGTCCGTTACAACCTCTGGAAAAATGCCGCTCCGCATGTACGGTCTGGCGTGCCAGAGTTGTTTACCATGTCGGCGCCTTGGTTCCATGTCGGAGGGCTCGTGGGTGTTTATCGAGGTATCCTGGCTGGTCCCCCAGGCTATGCTCAGAAAGCTTGTGAGTCTCCGTGGTTGGGGCTCCTTGCAGTTTCTTCTTGGTGCTTTCAGGCCACTGGTGGCCTTGGGCGGCCTCCTCGAGGCTTCTTGGCGGGCCTGTGCAGGGGACAGCTTGGGTATTATCAGGACGGATTCAGAGCAAGAAAACATCAGACAAACCATCGAACATCAGTGACTTTTGTTCCGGTGGCTCCCCGGGAGATTCTCCTGGAGCGCTCCTGGGGCGTCCACGGGGGCCTCTGGGGCAGTCTGGGGGCTCTCATGGAACGCTCTTGGGGCGTTTTGGGGGCCTCTGGGGCTGTCTTGGGGCCACCCTGGGCGCTTTCGGGCGCCTTTGGGGCCGTCGTCGGGCGCCTCGGAGCTCGTTGTGGAGTCGTCTGGGAGCGTTCTGGGCTGGTTTGGGCGCGTCTCTTTTCGACAATCTTGGAGCGTGATGGGGGCTCCTGGGGCTGTCCTGTCACGTCGCGCGGCCGCAGCAGGGACTTCTCAGAAAACCTTGAACAACAAACTGCTAAACTCAAGGCAAATTGCCTTTGGAGGGCCGCCGGGATGTTGTCCTGGAGTGCTTCCAGGGCGTTTTGGAAGCTTTCTGGGCTATCTCAGGGATCTCCTGAAGCACTCTTGTGGTGTCTTGGGGGCCTCTGGGGCCACCCTGGGCGTTTTAGAACGCCTTTGGGGCCATCTTGGAAGCACTCGGAAGCGGGCTTGGACGCCTGAGGTGCCATCTGGCCCCGTCCTGGAGCCTCCAGGCGTCCCCAGGCCCCCCAGGCCCCGCAGGCGTCTCTGGGCTGGAGTCCCCGAAGCGCTTCCACACGGGCGCTTCGCGCGCTTCCCCCAAGTCGCCGTGGAATTTGTTTTGCTCGGCCGTCGGAGCGGGAATGGACGAGCAAGCTCGGGCAATCGGGGCCTTGCAGGAGAGTAGCTTCTTTGGGGGGCTACCGGAAAACTATTGGGAAGTCGAACCCTGGGGTTCTTGGTAAGCATTTCGCGAGGCTCGGGGCCTTGGAGGAGCTCCGTGGGGGCATCCTGAGGAATTCTTTGTGCAGGTGGGCTCTCCAGAAAAATTTCGAGAGGCTCTTGAATGGCTTTCGGGGAGCTTCGTGGGGGCTCTTGGGGGGCTTTGGGGCCCTTTGGGGGGCTTCTCGGGGCCTTCTGGGCACATGTAGGGAGGAAAACTCAAAATGTTGGTTTGTGTTCTCCCTTGGGGGGCCATCTTGAGTGGTTCTGGAGGCTCTGTGGTGCCGTCTTGGAGGCCTCTTGGGCCGTCCTGGCGGGCTTTTGTGCCGTCTCGGCACCCGCTCGGGGGCCTCCGAGGTGGTCTTGGGACGATACTTGGGGCGTCGGGAAGCTAAAAAGGCGATAACCCCAAACCCCTTCAAAAACCATTGACATATTAATGAATACTGTCTTTGGGGGCCCTGCTGGGAGGCCTCTCAGAGGCCCCTCGGGG